TAGTCATGTCTAGAAACAAGAAAGTGAGATTTAATCCGTCTTCAAAGGAGTTGTATTCTTGACGTGTAGGCTTTACTTCTTCTAAGGGTGCAACTTCCCATGAAATTTCCTCATAATCTAACTTGCATTCCTCATCTTGAGATCAATTAATTTCGCTGCTTGTACCTCCAAATTCTTGATTGCCGCTTGTTGGATCTTAAAACTCTCACAAGTTTCATTCATGAACTCAATGTGAAACTTAGAATATTCCATTGGAGACTTAGTGAGGGCAGCAATCAAATCCTTAATTTGATTCTTCTTTTTGGGGGTATTAGTGATTCCAACTTTGCAGTAAAGGATCCCAATGCTAATGGTAGTCAAAATCCACCATATCATTTAACATGTGAAGTACATCTTCATAGCTATTTTCTGGAATGTGAATACCGATTGCCGAAAATCTACTATCCACCCAACTTTTTGTTTCATCGTCTAATCCAAAGTAGAACATGTAATTGAGATATTTATTTGTAAAATTATGGTAAGGAAATCTCTCCAACAATTCATTAAATTTTTCCCAAGCGGCATAAAATGGCTTTGAATGTTGTTGACTAAAAATATTCGACTATTTGTCAATACTATTTGTCAATGAAAAATCTCAAAATAATTCAAAAGTAAAAATTAATAAAATAACGAAAAACTACAAATAATATAAATAAATATTTCAATTAATAAACAATAAAAAAATTAAAATAAAAAATGTCTAAATTAATAATAAGTTAATTGGTATATTAGTAATGCCAACTCCCGGCTACGGCGCCAAAAACTTGACAGATTTTTTCACAAGTGCACGAAATCACAAACAAGTAATAAAGAGTGGGTAGATTATCTTTCCCATGACGATTATATACTAACTACCAAAATTGTATTAACCTACTATTATTTAAATGACAATAAAGAGAGTTATTTTAAGAAATTAAATTAAAAGAAATAAAAGAGAATAAAAAGAAATGAAAAGAATCAAAGGATTAAAGCTTACTAGGGATTTTTGACTTTGCTTAATTCTATCCATTTATTTTATTAGTTTGATAATCATTTTATATTTGTTTAGCAAGGGAAAACAAACCATAATCACTAGCAAGCTTCCCGATTATTGTTAGTATTTTAACCCGGTCTTAATTTTATCTTCCAAACATGAATTAAATAATTAAGTTTTATGGTTGATTTATAAATTCATAACCTAAGATTGTTATCTTATAAAAACCCCCATGAGTCAAACCATATAGTTTCCGCATCAAGTTATTATTTCCATATAATTTATTACCTTTTTTCATATCAAACATCATTCTTCCGATAGTGATTAATCAAATAAATCAATCTAGAGGAGAAACCTTGTTCGAAAGTATTAAGTTCAATAATAAATTATACTTTAAACAAGGAAAAGCAAATCTAATATTATAAATTGGAATAGAAATTAAACATACATCAAATCCCTAGTATGAAAATTTAGTTCGACATAACAAATAAATTAAACCCAAATAAACTTGTAAATATTCTCATAATCAACATGAATATTGAAAATAAAATAAGAAGAAAGTTTAGAAATAAAAACTAGTCGACAATTAGCTTGGAGAAACAATGTAGAGAAAAGTATACGGAATAATGGATGTGTTGTGAATCTATTGCCTTTAGTGTAAAGATTTCTCTTTATATAGACTTCGTAGGGTGTATTTGAATCCGAGTAGGAAACTAGCTGGCCTAATTAGGACGAAATATTATTTGAGTAGGAAACTGATTTTATATTGTGTTTCTTCCCAATTAGGAGTTTTCTTTGACCAAATAGGGCTGGAACTCAAACAAGATAGGTCTTATATTATTCTCATACAACTCCATGCACGAGACACGCCCATGCTTCAAATCTACACCGGCTAAATAATTAAATTCGGTCCACTTGAATTTTCAGCTTTCTTGGAGACACGACCGTGACATCTGACACGGTTAGGCCATGTACTTTACTGACTTGGCTATGTTGAATTTTTATCTCTATTTTTCAGCTCCAACCTTCTTTGATATAAATTTTGGCTATTTTCCTACTAAAAACCCTTCAAATCATACTTATCAAGAATTAAGGAAAATTAATTAAAAACATAAATAAATCTAAACACTAAAGTAATTAAAGCTTGACTAAAGTAATTAAAAATAATAAAAATCCTAATAAAAACTATATTAAAAATACTATAAAAATAAGACCTATCACACTTCAACTCAATCATCCACTTATTCACGTATCCTCCTTTAACTGCATAGTCCCTTAAAGCTTCTCTTCACACATCAACACTGGCAAATACTTGATCCACTTCAAGTTGAATATTTCCATCATTTGGATTTTTGAATTCATTAGCATATGTGTTTTTAAAATGGTCACCCTTCTTCCTTTTTTTTATCCTATTTCCATCATCCTCCCCCACATCTAATTAATCTGAGATAGCAAAAAGCCTCTCATCATCTCTTGAATACCCACTGCTCATACTATCACTGTCATCATCAATATCTTGCTCTCCATATCCACCAGATCCTCCAATACCAGGTTCAAGAACTACAAAGTCAGAGGGAGTGCGATCCTTCGAGTCACCCGGGTATTACCAACCAAACACAGGTCGGCTTAAGTGCACGTGGGCCTTCGAAAAAAACCCGCAAGAAAGGCCATGTAATGCCGACCTAAATCGAGGCCCATGAGGATGGGCCCAAAATCAAAGCCCATAAGGAACGTGACAAGACCGAGCAAAAGGAACACTTAGGCCTAAAAGTCCAACTTAGTAGATATTGTACAAATTGTATATATTATAGAATTATAAATACGGTATTAGATGACATAGGCTGTATAAATTCTAGAATATTCACTTTTTTTTGAATTGCACTCTTTAAATTTGTATAAATGGGGATGACACATGTGAGGCTCTGATATGAGCTGTCCAATCCATCAAACGGGATTAGAACGTTCATTTGAATTGGATTCACAATTTAGACATCTTTAATATAATTACTTTTTTTGAAAATAAATTTTCACTTATATTTTTTATTTTAAGGGAAAAATCTAAGCTTTATTTTCCTTCTCTTTTATACCCGAAACCAAAACTGGTACTTATTTTCGGTACTTTATTAATCCTAAATGAATCAAAAGAGCAAATCATCCAAGAATTGAAGAAACAATGCTCAACAAATTTTAAGAATTTTTCTCAAGTTAATGAAAAGTTCATCAATACTGCATATGGGTTTAAGTTGAACGTCAAATTTCCTTATCCTGATCAAATTTAGAGTCCATGCATGATATAACTTAAAACGCAAACATATAATTATATAGAATTTAATAATATATGCTAAAAGGAAAACAACCATGTCTAAGTCTTTCTTGAATCCATTGATGAAATGAGATAGATAGCTTAAATTGAAACTCAAGAAAACTTGATTTTCAGTAGTCAAATTTTGATCCTACGAAAGGCACCATTTTTATCTTTCTTAGCCAACTCACAGAAATGGTTATATGTCTATCTCTAACATTCTACTGCTTTCCAAGTAAAATAGAGATAAGCAAAGGATATAATATTTTATATTGATTTGGGAAAAAAGGAAACTAGCCTTTTATTTAAATGGGCAATATACTTACATTTAATTTCAAAATTTCGCAACCATATGCATAAATCTAGTATATTTTTAAGACGTAAATTCTAAAATTTAGTAAGAAATAATCACTATATTTATTTAAAATTAAATATAAATGCTAAAAAAATACAATTAAATTGCAATAAAATAATAAATTAATATTTCATATAATTACACATAATCATGACTAGTTAATGTCAAGGATTGTTTAGTACTCCCTCTGTTTTTTTATTTTAGAGAAAAATTCCATTTAGATTGTTTGTTTTATAAAGAGAATTTTACTTTAAATGGAAACTTCGAAAATGATGTCATAAGTAAATGTTTAAAATGCTCTTGAATAACCTATATTATTGCCCTTTTTTAGACTCAATTAACAAGTATAATGGTGAAAAAAAGTTGGGCTCGATAATTAATGATGTTATATTTCTAAAGCATGAGTAATAGTTACATTTATAAGCAGTTCCATAGAAATGTGCTCGACTTTACGGATTTGTGCACAAATAAGAATACGTACAGTGACCAGGTTTCATAATATGGTCACACATTTAATTGTTGTGCTTTACTTATAAAAAAAAAGTCTTTAATGTCCATATTACACTTTTAATTTAAGCACAAATTCAAATTTTTTCCAACAAACCTAATTGTAATGCTTTGTTGACTAAGTTTGTTTCGTTTCAAGGTATGCACTAATTTCTATGGAAAGCAGAGTATTTTTCTTGTAGTCACAAGTTTATATTATTACACCATATTTTTTAAAAATTACCTTTATGCATATATTAACCCTTATTAATGTGTATAAATTTTGATTTTATATTCTCATATCCATTGATTCATGCAATGGAAAAACAATCTTTAGCCGGATGATTATTTTTTCTTGGGGAAGTTTTCATAATACCATCACATACTTGTATTGTAACATGCTTTTTAAAATTGCCTTTAAGTTGAGAATACACCTTACCAACGTGTGCGACAAAAACTATGCCCTTCTTTCTAAACTTAGAACATGAAAAAGATGAGTTCATGATATCTAACTGAAGATAGTTTCCTTCTTACGAGTGCACTATTTCAAAAACGATGTAAATAAACTGAAATGCTTCAATTTAAAAGTTGACGAGACTCTTGCAATCCTTAAAATTTTAGCTAATAAATGTACATTTGAAATACTCTATTCGTCAGTTAGCTTACTCATCATTAATTATATATTTAAGGCTAATTATTGGTATTATAAACAAAAAAAATAGACAAATTTCTGATTAACTAATATCTAGCTTTTTCTGATTTCTTTAGTAAAAGACAGAGGGAGTAATATTTACAAAATATATTCAAAATAGTAATTTTAAAATAAAAAATAATTGCATTTGATATTAATTTAAAATTTTAACTACCTATAATATATGCATGAAAACAAGCAATTACAAACCAAGTTATTGAATATTTTTGAACTTTCCTAGGTCTTAGGAACCGCAAACTGCTTTATCTTGTTTACAAGCACGATATATACAGCAATCTTGAGAAAATAACAAGTTACTCCATTAATTACAAGCACTTACAGGATCGCATCTTGTCAAAACGTGGTAATATATAGACACACATACATTAAATTTCAACTATTGGTTGGGTCCCAAAAGGGAAAGCAGGAAACTCCGGTAATGGCCGGATGTTTCTGAGTGAACTGCATTATTCAATGTCTTCTTGTACTTCCTCACGTATTCAGCTTTTATATATTGCATATCAATCTCAGTCCGTGTCACAACTACTCTTATCAATGTCGTATCATCAGTTCCTAGACCTTTCATTGCCTTTCGCAGCACCTGCAAAGTCGAACAACATATGAATAATTCCAAGGTAATCACATTGCAATTGCTAATAGCGAAATGATTTATGTCCATCTTTGTGAGTGGTTTGGATAAGTAATCCTTAATTATAGTCCCTTCAAACACACAGAAGGGAGCGAATTGCTCAATATTATGACGGCAACAAATCAAACGTTGAGAAGAGTCTTATGCAAATCAAATATCTGAACTCAAATTTTAAGAATTTTTTCTGTCCATTTTAAGTATGTGAATTTTGGGCAATTTGCAAACAGTTTAGGCTCAAGATTTCTCTACTACGGTGGCACAAAATGAAAAGCATGCTGATACAAGCACACATGTAGGGTTTTAAATGAGCCGAACCGAGCTTGAGCGTGGAAATCTGAGCTTGAATTCGGCTCCATTATAAAATAGCCAAACTTGAGCTCAGCTTGGGCTTGGCTTAATAACTATAAACGAGTCGAGCTCAAATTTTATCAAACTAAGACGTCATTTTAATATAGGTTTAATTAATTTGTACTTATTGAGCTGGTTCGCGAGCTAGCTCGATAAAGCTGTCTCACATAAACTGAGCTCAAGCTTGGCTCGTTTATTAAATGAGCTCAATAGCTCTCTTGAGCTCGTTTGATATGAGCTTGAGCGAGCACTTAGAGAGCTGAGCCTCGAACAGTTCACAAGCGACGCGTCTCATGTATAATCCTACACACATGTTACGGACTCTGGTTGTCTGGAACATAACAATTGTCTACCACATCAAACAAAGTCTTCAATGACATGATATAACTCATTATGCCTTCCAAATTTAAACCGGGAATATCTTGATTTTATTATAACCAGATGCATACCATAGAACCAATAGATGAGGTCAGAAATGTAATACCTTCGCAAAATACATTGCAGGATTCTCTGAGCATTGCAAAATTGTCAACAGAGCCTGTTTGAAGTGTCCTGATGTTTCACCCTTTACAGCCTAATAAATTATCCACTTAAATTTTAAATCAGAAAAGGAAAGTAAAAAATAGAGACTGAGAAGTCTAAGTTAAGTAGAGGCTAGAGGACGTCAAGGAAGCAAACCTTTTTCAGATTGCTATCATAAACATTACGATAAATAGAAGCTATAGCAGCCAACTGTGCTGAACTTCGTTCACTGAATATGCGGATGAAGGTCTTCTCATCTGTTCCCAATTTCTTCTCTCCAGCCTTGTAAAGTAACTTAGCATCATTCTGCGCCATCTCAAGGTCAACTTCTCGGCCTTCATAGCGAGGTGTACAAAGATATGCAAGCAAAAGCTGAATCAAGTGTTTTACAAAAATATATTAGCAAAAACTCAACATATGAAGACGCAGAAGCAAGGTATTAGCAGCAGTATGCACACTCATTTAGTTTTACTGATATAAAAGATGATTGTGAAAGTACACTAAAGTTTAAAAATCTTTTGGATTTTCTTTTGAAATTTATCTTTTTTTAAAAAAAAAAAAAAATTTGGGCTCCCCGCTAACATTTGTTCAAGTAAACCATTATAAATATCCTAAACTTTGCGTTTTTTAATTTATACCCCAATTTGAACTCCCGAATTTCATGCTTTTGTTATAATTGCATCCCAAACTTTTAGGGCTTTTGAAATGAATAAAAAATACTTAACATGAGACCCATCAGAGCAGGTGGGGTTAAAATTAATCCGACCATAATTAACACAAAATGCACTGATTTACTGTTAACCCACACATCTCATCTCTCTCCCTCCATCGTTTCTGAGACGCAAATCCTATCTATAGCAAGAACCCATATTCGGATAAATTTTCTGCACTTCTAGCTGATCTTGAAAAGAAAAGGCAAAAGATTTATTCTCAAGTCGATTCTCAAGATATTTCATTTGTTCGTTTCACATTTTTCAGCTCCAACGATTGTGTTCCGACTATAGTTAGGTTAAAAGATCCAAACAGGCACAGTTTTGTAAAGATGAAAGAAAAGATGATCCAAAGACAAAGCAAGTATTAGATAAATCGCTGGTAAAGAGAACGATAAAGAATCAAGAAACAAAGCAAGCAAGATTAGGAACAGAAAAGACATCGGAGAAGAAGAGGACACCGAACCGGAACATCAAGTTACATAAATGGGGAAGATCTAATCTTTATAGGCCAGTGTTTATAATCTTGATTTTCTTGCTCTTGGCTTTCTTTGGAAGATCAGTAACAATATTATGCCCTCTATTGGGTGGTATTTAGTTCCTACATCGAGTTCATCATCAGAAAAAGCAGCAATCAATAATAATAATAATAATAACAAGAAACTTCCGAGAAGATTTAGTGAGATTTCTCCAAGAAGCCGCGGGAACAATTTTGTTATTGAAGATGCGAAGGATAAATCACCTCATGCCATCAAATAGCTTTCGAAGATTGAATTAATTTGGTAATAATAATAGTGAAGCGATGCGTTTTCAATGGAGGTAGAGAGATGAAACGTTTTGCGGGTTAAGGGTGAAACAAAGTGTTTAGTCTTAACCAGGGGTGAGTTAATTTTAAATCCACCTGCTCTGATAGATACCACTTTAAGTATTTCCTTATTCATTTCAGAAGTCCTAATTTGAGTTTGGGATGCAATTATAACAAAAACATAAAATTTGGGTGTCTCAGGGGTTAAGTTGAAATTAGAGTATAAATATAAGAAACAACAAAGTTCAGGCTATTTTTAATGGTTTACTCAAATTTGTCCCCACTGAAATTGATTTTAGCCCTCAAGCTCATCCCAAATCTTATGCACAAGGATCTATTGAAATTTTAACCCAATAGATTACACTAAAAATTATATATATATATAATATATATATATATATTATATATATATTATTATATATATTTATATATATATATAAATTATAATATATATAAGTTATTTCATTTATATTTTGTTTTAGCATATCACTATATATTTAATTAAGTATTGCAAAGTTAACTTTCATATCTAATACATAATAAAACAGTAAGTAACTAAGCAGATCTGCTGGTCTAAACTTTATAAGATTACGATCAATGTATTATGTAATTAAAGTTAAAAGAGTTGAAATATTATGTGACTCAATATATTTTAGGTCAAAATTAACTTCAATGTCACATATATAGAAAGTTGTGCTTAGCATTTATAAAAATAAGTATACATTGTGCCCCAACAAAAAAAAAAAAAAAAAAAAAAAAAAAAAAAAAAAAAAAAAAAAAAAAAAAAAAAAAAAAAAAAAAAGAAGATCATGGTTCCGCCATAAGACGTGTTCATGAATTTCAAGAAAATGAAAAGAAATGTGATTCTGCCAAAGAATACAAAAAATTCAAATCAAAGACTCAAGCTTAGAATTATGCTCTAGATTATTTTCTTAAAAGCTTAGGAGTAGTTATAAAATCCAATGTCTTGAAGGTTTAGAATTGGATTTAATCCAACAAACACTAAACACAAACACTGAGAAAATATCTTTAAAGTAAGTTCTACGTTTACTTGATGTTAACTAACATCATAACTTTTTAGAATTTGAAGTTATGCTATTGATTTTCTTTGGTTTTGACTGCTCATGCTATAATAAAAAATTTTTTGTAGTATTTAAGAACTTTTCTATAATAGTAATCAATTTTTTCAAAACAATTATGTTTTATTTTACTAAAAAAAAAGAATATACTTGCAATATTTTTTAATTTATGTATAGAAATTTCATTTAATATTTAAATTTGATAACATATGCTAACATAGAAATATACATGTGAATTCACGTGCTGTAAAAGACTGTTTCCATAAAAACCTGAATTATTCACCTAAAAATCTGCCTATTGTAGCTTTTAAACAAATCCAATATATAGCCTCAGTAACCAGCCAGTGCTGTCCTAGGTAAATGTGCCACAAAATGAGGGGTGGTGGACAAGAAATTCAAAATTGCTTAAGTAGTTTCACAAGAAATATGATAAAGGAATTATTTAACACATATTCATGAATCACTAAGAAAATACCACAACTTGGAACGAGTGTGTCTTAAGTCTTAATAATAAATCTCTATGGCAGCTGGCTGTCCAATTATCTTTTCAGTCATATAAGGTATAAGCATTAGAAATTGACTCTCTTACAAAATTACAGCTATAAGGGTCCAGCAAAAGTTGTTGCCAGGCTAATGACAATTACTGAAACTTCAAATTAATAATTCTCTCTCAGATAATCATATAGCAACAAAAATTAAATAAGAACCAATCTAACAAATTGAACGTAAAGGGCATAAAAGTATTTGCAAACAAAATGGAGCTAGTACAACAAATAACTATATACCAAAGGTAGTTGCAATCATATATTTATATCAATATCAAATAAAGCACAATTGCAGTAACATAATATGACCACTCAAAAAATAACCTTGAAATGAATCGTAAACAATATCTCTTGAACAAGGAAACTAACAAAATCTGAAGTTTGATATTTAGCAAACAAGCTAAATACTAAAACAATGCAACCATGTACCCCTGGGGCACATCTGTTGGAGGTAGAATTGAATAATGTGAAGAAAGAGAAAGAATTTACCCTTTTATGATCCCCAGAGGTGCGTAACTCAATATCTTGCTCAAGGTGAACCCCGAATTTTGCATGGTAATGTTGCTTAAACACCTGTATCTGGGATGGGGTGCGAGAGCAAATTACTTCAGTCGCAGCTTGGATATTCAATGTGTCTGAACTCAATGCCTGCTTGACTATGATTGCATCACGTCCAGGTGGATCATGCATCCAAAGCAGAACTGCTGTCTGAAATACGAGAAAATAATTAAATGTGATGCAGGAGCAATCCTAGTCCTAATTGGATTCCTAGCACAACTAGGATTTTATTTAATTTACTGTTTTATTTCAGATTTGCATTAGTTTTACTGTTTTATTTCAGATTTGCATAGTTTTCCGTTTCCTTATTTGATAGGATTTACTATTTTATCATTGAATAGGGAATAGAGTTTTTAATTCTTTCTTAATTAGGATTCCTAATCTAGTTAGGATTTATCCACTATAAATAGACAGCACTAGTTAGCATTGTAAAATCATCTTATTTTCCTCATATTTAATTCAAAGGTTATAAACTATTATTTACTTGTTCCACCTACAATCCAACCCTATTCTGGCTTACTTGATTTAAAAACTGACAGCCCTACATCTTCCCCTGCAGTCAACTGGTATCAGAGCACAAAAACAGAATCCTTAGGATTCTTTTTTGTCTGAAATTTAAACCATGGTTGGAAGAGGCAGAGGCAGAGGCAGAAGGCAATCAGCCCCACAGATTGAAATAGCTGAGATGCGGCGAATGAATTGGAGGAATTTGACCCCGGGTCTGTACAAGCCTTGCAGCGTCAGAAACCCGTGGAAGCCCGAAATATGGAGACTCCGGAAGGCCAACCACCAAAACCTGATTTTCAAGAAGCTCTTTAGAGAGTGAGAGGAAGCAGGACGTAAACCCCTTTCATGAAGCTGGACCTGCAAAACCCAGCAGCACGAGGCAGATTGTGGAAGAGCGTTACTTCATGCTCTTGATTTTAAATAGTGGAGGATTAAAATGAAGTTGCTGATTTTTATGGAAAATCGCATGCCGAAGACTATTAGATTGGGAAACTAGTTTAAGAAAATTATTTTGAATGAAACCAATTGTTGAAACCCCGAAAAGTTGCTTTTTGTAAGTTTAAATTAAAGAACTGCACTTCAAATGGGTGGGAAGAGAGTTGAGGAAGCAGGCCGTCGCACGACAAGGAAAGCTTATAAAAATCAGCACGTGGGAGCACATTGAAACTAAAGCTAAGGAAGCAATTTATTAGCAAGCTGATTACGCAATGGAACTATATGAAAGGTTTCCACTGCTGAAACAAAATAGCATGTCTGTTGAAAGAGTACACTGCAGGGAATTTAATAATTTGTCCATTCCGAGTGGAATATCTGAAAATTAATGAACAAAATATCCTCTCGCTACCTTGCTGGTGTTTGAATCAGTCCCTTAGAGGATGAAATGGGCATAGTCCGGAATTACACAATCTTGAAGATGCTCGCCCAATATGCCTTAGCAGCTGAAAAAGCGGAAGTTTTTTTTTTTTTCCCTTCCCGTTTTACGGGCAGAAGGGCCATAAACAGAAGCAATTTGCAAACAATTCGGACCTGCAAGAGGGGATTCAAACAACTCAACGAAGCGGGAAAGAGGCTGCCGCTTACTAATTAAAACAATGAGAGAGACAGCCTGTGTTGACAGAACGGTAAAGGGAAAGGTTATTGTACCTTATGGTCGACAAAAAACATTTCTGGTTCTGTCTACAAGGAGAGGCAACAATCTCAAGTTCGTTTTTTTTACTTTGTGAGAAAAGCGGACATACATCATCTGTCCACAAAGGAGGTGAAATTAGCCGAGTGATGATGAAGACCAAGGCCCTATTTTTGATGAAATGATGAGGAAGTAGAAGAAAATTTGATGTTCACTCCAGCTCAAGGTGAGTCTTTAGTTGTATCGAACAGTCATGGTTCGAACAGTCATGACAGCCATGAACAAAGAAGGAAAAGAAGATTGGAGGAGGCGTAGCATTTTCCGTACACGTGTTATTTGTGAAGGCAAAGTGTGTGATTTAGTCATTGATGGAGGAAGTATGGAAAATATAATATCAAAGGAGGCTGTAGAAAAATTAAAGCTTCCTACAACAAAACATCCTCATCCATACATAGTAGGTTGGTTGAAGAAAGGACATGAGATACCAGTAACATCTCAATGCTTAGTGCAATTCACAATGGGAGATGACTTCGCAGATGAAGCACTATGTGATGTAGTACCATGTTGGGCATATTCTAGTGGGACGACCTTGGTTGTATGATCATGATATAGACCACAAGACAAGGCCTAATACTTATTCGTTCTACAAGGACAACAAGAAGTACACTTTGCATCCTTTCAAGGAAGAAACAAGGCAAATAGCAAATAAAGGAGCTGCAACTAGTAAATTAAATGGGCTTGTCAGTGTTAAAGAATTTGCAGCTGCGCATAGTGAAGTGGGAGTCACGTATGCCTTAGTGAGAAAACTGATAGGAGCCGACCAGGTTGAAAAATCAGTTGAATATTCCTTTGAAATTCAACGATTATTGCAGGAATTCAAGGAGTTGATTAGTGAAGATGTACTGAAAAGCTTGCTACCGTTAAGAAGCATCCAACATGCTATTGATTTGGTACCAGGAGCATCTTTATCAAATCTGCCTGCATACCAAATGCCTCCTTTACAACGGGCTGAAATAGAAAGACAGGTTAAGGAATTATTGGAAAAAGGTCTGGTGCGTGAAAGTAAAAGTCCATGTGCCTTGAAAGTAAAAGTAAAAAGGTCTGGTGCGTGAAAGTAAAAGTCCATGTACCTGCCCAGCCTTATTAACACCAAAGAAAGACGGTTCTTGGAGAATGTGTGTAGATAGTCGTGCTATAAACAAGATTATAATCAAATATCGCTTTCCAATAACAAGATTGGAGGATATGCTTGATTAACTAGCATGTTCTAAAGTGTTCTCCAAAATTGACTTGAAAAGTGGATATCACCAAATTAGAATGAGGCATGATGATGAATGGAAAATAGCTTTTAAGACACCGGATGGGTTATTTGAATGGTTAGTAATGCCATTTGGCCTTTCTAATGCACCAAACACATGCATGAGAGTCATGACAGATGTACTCAAACCTTTCTTGAATTCTTTCATTGTGGTATATTTCGATGACATTTTGATTTATAGCCGCATAGAGGAAGATCATTTAAAATACTTGCGACAAGTATTAGAAGTACTTCGTCAAGAGAAGCTGCACATAAAGCTAAAAAAATGCAGTTTCCTGCAACCAGAAGTGGTATTCCTGGGATACATTGTGTCCGCTGAAGGATTAAAACCAGATCCAGAAAAGGTTTGTGCAATTACCGAATGGCCAGCACCACAATCCATCAAAGAAGTTAGAAGCTTTCATGGTTTGGCCTCTTTCCATAGGAGATTTATCCAAAATTTCAGTTCAATTATGAGTCCTATAATTGCATATCTGAAAGAAGAAAAGTTTGAGTGGACAAATTCTGCACAAAAGGCATTTGAAAGAATCAAGTTTTTAATGACTAGAGCACTTGTTCTTGCACTTCCAGATTTTGAGAAATTATTTATTGTCAAATGTGATGCTTCACATGAAGGGATTTGAGCTGTTCTTAGCCAAGAGGGCAGACCTCTTGAGTTTTTTAGTGAAAAGTTATCTGAAGCTAAAAAGCGTTACTCAACTTATGATATAGAGTTCTATGCCTTGGTAAGAGCTATTCGACATTGGCAACATTACTTAGCTTATCGTGAGTTTATGGTTTTTTCTGATCATCAGGCCTTGAGGTATCTAAAATATCATCAGGCCTTGGAGGTATCTTGAGGTATCTAAAATCTCAGAATAAACTCAACAATCGACATGCTAAGTGGAGTTCTTTCCTTGATGAATTTAATTTCTCACTAAAGTATAAATCCCGTCAATCTAATATTGTGGCTGATGCATTGAGTAGAAGATCCCTAATTTTGTCAATTTTGACACTCAAATTACTGGTTTTGAAGAACTGAAAAACCAGTATGATTCGGATTCATGTTTTGGCAAGATAAAGGCTGATTTACTGCATTCTTCAGAAGCTGAAAGTCTGCCATACCGATTGCAAGATGGTTATTTATTCAAAGGGAATAAGCTATGCATTCCTGATCTTTAAGGGAACAAATCTTAGAGAACTCATGGAAATGGTTTTGGGAGGACACTTTGGTGAGAGACAAGACTTTTGCGATTGTTCTGACCGTTATTATTGGCCAAAGATGGAAAAAGATGTGAGAAAATTGGTGGAACGATTGTTCAAAGCCTGTTTACTCGGGAAGGGGAAGCACGGCAAAATGAACAGGATTTATATACTCCTTTACCCGGCCAGATGCACCTTGGGTTCACTTGAGTATGGATTTTGTTTTGGGCACTTCCAAAGGACAGCCAAAGGGATTTGTTCTATATTTGTGTAGTGGATCGTTTTCTCTAAAATTGGCTTCATTATCCCATGTTTCAAGACTTCTAATGCAGTTCATATTGCTGAGTTTATTTTTTCATGAGATCGTGAGACTACATTGGTGTCCGACTTCTATTGTTTCCGATAGAGATGTAAAAGTTTATGGGGCACTTTTTGGAGGACTTTATGGAGAAAATTGGAAACTGAATTGAAATATTCTGAGTACTTTGCCATCCCACAAACAGACGGTCAGACGGAAAGTTGTCAATCGTAGTTTGGGAAATCTATTAAATGTCTCGTTGGGAGGCAATAAGCAAAGACATGGATCTTAGTTATTCCCCAAGCTGAATCGCCATATAACAAACTCAGTCCAATCGAAGTATTAGGAAGACTGCCTTTTGAGGCTGCTTTATGGACTTAAACCATCAGAATGTAACTCGATTTGTGGTTGCCTTGCCCCAAGAGGCTAGAGGTAAGTGCTGAAAGGGGAATTGTTTGCTGAATCACATCAGGAAAATTCATACAGAAGTGAAAGCGCCTTAAAAGACAGCAAGCATATATTGCCTATACACCAAAACCAGCATCGGCGCGTACAAAGAATTTGAAGCAAGGCATCAGGTTCTCATCCACTTAAGACAAGAACGTTTTCCCTAAAGGAAACTATCATAAGCTTGAAATCCTAGAAAGGTTGGACCTTGTAAGGTGTTGAAGAAGATCAGTTCCAATGCCTATGTAATTGATCTTCCATCTGATTTACAAATCAGCCCAATTTTTAAATGTTTCAGGACTTGTATCCTTTTCATGGATTTGATGGAGTTTGCCATCCATCCATTTGAAGCAACAAGTACAAGGCTGCCAATTGCAGAAGGCTTGATGTTATTGAGGAAGTGTGGATGTCAAGGCAGGCCGTTCTAAGTCGTGGCAACCAATATAAGACAGATTTTTTTTAGTTTTTTAAGTTGGTTTGGAAAACCAGCACGGTGAAAGGTACATGGATTTCTGAAGAAGAGCTAAAGCAGTTGATCCAGGCCATATATGCGGAATATATCAAGGCTTACTCGTCGAGAGCGAGTCCTTTCTCAAAACCCGGGGAGAATGATGCAGGAGCAATCCTAGGTCCTAATTGAGATTCCTAGCACAACTTTAGGGATTTTATTTTAATTCACTGTTTTATTTTAATTTGCGATTAGTTTCCGTTTCCTTATTTTGATTAGGATTTACTATTTTATCATTGAAATAGGAAATATGAGTTTTAATCTTTCTTAATTAGGGATTCCTAATCTAAGTTAGGATTTCTATCACTAATAAATAGACAGCATAGTAGCATTGTAAATCATCTTATTTTCCTTCATAATTTTAATTCAAAGGTTAAAACCTAATTCAAAGGTTATAAACCTAATTATTTACTGTTCCACCTACAATCAACCCTATTCTAGCTTACTTGTTAAAAACTGACAGCCCTACATCTTCCCCTGCGTCAAAATGTGTGTAAGCATAGACAAAAAATATCTCTATTTTGAGACTTTTAAACAGGACAAACTGATCATGATTCTACATTGCTGGAAATAGAAAGTAAAAATTATCTTAACTAAAAATATTTATGAATGTGTGAACACCAGATTACCAAAAAAATTGAAAAGCCCTCCTAAGGAGGAAGAATAATAGTACCTCCAATTTTCCACTAAGTTCTTTAGACAAGCGCTTAAGAAGATCGTCAGAGTACACTTTTTTGTACTCCTGTTGAATAAGCAAACGCTGTGTTGAATCTCGATGAGCCAATATATTAATCACCACCGAAGTATCACATCCAAATCCTGGGTAAAAAAAGATTAGACATTCCAAAACAGAATATCATATAATTGACAAGTTTTCTGGCTGCAAAATTAATCATTCTTTTCTCACAATTTGAACTACTCTACAACAAAATTTCATTATAGTTATCAACTTGTATGAGGAAAATGGAAGGTGCATTGGTGCAACCAAAAAAAAGGAGTTCTTTCTTGTCAATTTCTTCAGTCAAAAGATTTTTTTTTTTTTTTTTTTTTTTTTTTAATTTCACTTTACTTTGAAAAAAAAAAGCTTTATTATTTATACGTATGGGAGTTCTAATATTTTTAGGTAGTAGTCTCTTAATGTATTGGTAACATTCTATAATAATTAGACAATAAAGTCTATTGGTAGTAATGCTAGTAGCCTTCACAATTAAATCTACAATATTTTTTTTATTTTTTTTTTTTTTTTTTTTAATTCTTACTTTGAAAAAAAAAAGCTTTATTATTTATAGTATGGGAGTTCTAATATTTTTAGGTAGTAGTTCTCTTATGTATTGGTAATCATTCTAATAATAATTAGACAATAAAGTCTATTTGGTAGTATGCTAGTAGCCTTCACAATTAATCTACAATATTTTTTTATTGTCATCTCTAATTCTAAACAATAGAATGCTTAATGTTCCAACCCACCAAAAATGCCAAAGTTTTGGCAACAACAATACATATACTCCTCTTGGTGTTTTCATATCCTGTTAGAACGTCCATTATTATACAACAAGAAGGTGAATCATTATGGTTACAACAATATATGTTCTTTCCAGAAAGCATACTAGGGGGCTTGCAACCTAACTTGAAAGTAGCTCCTTTTATTTGTCAAGCACATTAAGCATATACATTTTGTTCTTAAACGAGCATCCAGATGCATTCAACTTCACAAATCCAAGCTCTTTTTTGAAGAGGGAGAACTAATAGTAAATCTATTAAATGGTTATTGCAAAGGAAATCTTTAAGTTGGAAAACTAACATAAATCGCATTAATCCTATGCCAATAAAGTTTAGGGCATTCTAGCATGAGGGGTCTATTGACCATGAAAATAAAAGGTCAGTGATATAATAGGTTCTGATAAAAGTTCAGAGCTGCAATAGGATTTCTCCCAAGTCAAGGACTAAATTAAAGCCTCAGGCATTTAGAATTTAATTAGTAATTCTGCAATTTAGGATTATATCCCAATTAGACAAGCAAGAGTCTTTCGTCTTTCTGATTGCTTGTGGTTCTAGTTTATTTTCTTAGGCGTTTCAATAACAAATTGTGAGGTAAATTTGTGAGTAATTATTTGTTGAGTGTTATATCTTTAATTCTTTGTTGTCTTCTTCTCCTTCTTCTACGTCAACTCATACCATGCCTTAATTCAAAATTTTTTATATCATCAATCTAATTCTGATATCCCACTTTTTAACCCTCCAATTTTGTCAAACAATAAACCACCAAAAATTCATAAATAGCTAAATCACAAATTAGTCCTGCTTCACAAACTCATAAAGCTTAAAGGTTGTTGTCTAGATAATCTGCCTATACATCAAAAGGGGTATGATCTCAATCCTTACATTACATGAAAATTTTTGAATCAAGCAAATTAAAGATATGAAAAAAAAAAAAAAATAGATGTACCAAATTAGAAACACCATCTTCTTGTATCAATCTTCTTGCATCTTTACATATAGAATGAAGACTATGTTATAACAAAATCTCAAAACTAAAGGGAAAGAAAAGGTTCAAACTGAGATTAAGGAATGAACCTTCTGTGATAAAAGGAATTCAATTAACAGGCACAATTACACTTTGAAGCAACAAAACCGTACGAAAGAAATATGAAGATGGAGATTTGAATATATATAGTTACCTTTGAAAGCGCGGTAGAGATGAACGGCGTCATCTTGGGGAGTCGTAAGCGCCGGAGGTACGGTCAAAGTCGACATTTGTTTCTCCCTTCCTTTCAATCTCGGTTTGTCGTATTCAATTTGAATTTATAGAACAAAACAAGACAGTTGTGCAATTTATTATTGGTAATAAATAGCGTAGCAATTTTGACTTGGCAAAACTTCAGGCATCGGAGCATTTCAAACTTCAAACCAAGCTTGGTCCACCGTATGTTTAGTTTAAATTTTTTTTATAATTTTAATACTATGATTCTTCAAATATTAGTCATATTTAAATACATAAATATACCCATCTATAATTTATAACCTATAATTTATCTCTATTTATATTACTACCCCTATTTCATAATACTTGTTATATCAAAATACTTATCAGATTTGTGGTCTCAACGAGTAATAAATTTTTTTTTTCATATTTAACATTTGTATATGAACAATAATTATTACTTCAATTCTTTTAAAAAATTTTCTCTCTCTTTATTTGCTCCTACCTCTTTGTTTAAAGTAAAGGTAATATAGTTAATTTACTCAAGGTAATATAGTTAATTTACTCAAGAATTTATTATAATTTAAACAAATTTAATGGTTTTCTTAAGAGACGTGAAATTTCAAATTTGACAAGAATTATAAAATAAAGGTAGCACATATAAACGTGAGAATAGAGACACATTAATGTGTGTGGTTTGATTGATTTTCTCACTCTACAAGTGTTTTCACCAATTTGATAAGTACAATAAAGGGCTTATCTATCTATCTATCTATCTATCTATATAAATATATAATTTCTAAGGCTTAAATGATTATGTGGCAACATATTAAAATATTAAACTAATGACATGACATTTCATTTTTTCATTATAATATTTTTTGTATTTGATAAAAATTATTTTTTATGAAATAATCGAGTTACAAAGTCATAAATTTAATTGATGATTTCATTATAATTAACATTTTTATCTTTGATAAATATTGAGTTCTTAATGAAATATTTTTTATCTATTAAAAAAATAATGGACTTATAATAATGATTAATAAAAATGAATTAAAAAATATAGTTACATTAACAAATAGAGTTAAAATATTATTATACCTCATCTAATTTGAATATACAAAAATTTTAAAGAGAAAAATTAAATAATTAATTAACTATATCAGTTGAATTACAATAAGTGCACGTTACAGTTGATTTGGATGGGCAGGTTAAGTTTGGCCTAGATGTTGGTGGATTGATAGTGTGGATGATATATCAAGCTTAGTAATCCTTCTTTTGTCCTATGTTATCTCTCCACATCCTTTATAATTTTTTTTATTTTAAGTTAGAAAGAATTATTGCCTAATTCTGCAAAAAATGCTTAGCACACTTTATGTGGGATATTATCTAGAAAGAATCTACTCTTTGATTTTTAATGTTGCAACAAAATTATGATTTTTTAAAATCATGTCTTTTACACTATTTCAAATACTGAGCAAATTCTTTTATGTTGGGGAGAACCCCGCATACATAGAGCAACTTCTGAAAGTGTATCTGAAACATATACAAGAAATTTGCTATGATATTACATGTATTTTTCCTCATATATTACATTTTGAAAAGGCAATATGAATATGGATGGTGGTATCACTTTGTAGTGTGAATGACCTCCATGTGAAAAAATGCTTTGTCTATAGATGTATTGACAGTAATATCGAAATGTTGTTCTAGCTATGTCTCTCAATTCTATTAATCACTGATAGAGATATACATGGGAGGTTCTAATCATGTAATTCATAACTGGTCTAATCCTTCTCTTCATTTAGTTTGTAATATCTCCTCAATTTATGAGTTTGATTTTGTATGAATTATTTTGTCATTTTCTAATCCCAAGGCTTGGTTTGGGCTCTAACAAATCTTTTGTAATGGCTAAACCATATCAAATTTTGCAAATCACATAGGACCTAGTAATTGCATGTTGATCTTGTTAAATTTTCAACTTTGAAGCTTTCATTTCATTATATATACGCACCTGCTATCAGACATAATGCACCCACCAATTGCTTGTCTTAAATTTTTGAAATAAGAACCTGGGGTTTGAAAGGAGTATTTCAATTGAAGGTTTTGGAAACTTACAATTTCTTTATGTATAGAATGAACTTCATGCTGGTGCTGCTATGTAATAGACAATAAACTATATGGATGCAAATTTCTTTAAATTGTGCATATGCGACATGAAAAATCTATTAATAAGAGGTCATTTAATTATAAAATTTGAACTCTGTAAGACATTTTCAAGTATGACTATTTTGTCAATGCTAATCGTTCAGAAATCTTTTACTCAGAGATAAGGAAGTACTATCCAAATCTGAAGCATGGATCACTGGAGCTAGGTTATGCAAGGATTCGACCAAAAATTTCTGGTCCTGGACAATCTCCTGTTGACTTTGTAATACAGGTAAGCACCCTCCTTTTAATTGTAAATTCTTAATCCAACCTGCTTCACATCCTTGGGCATTCTCTATCAAGTGGTACGCGAAGCTGGGGTTGTGAGGTCAAGGTCACTAATGAAATAACTAGAAAGTTTTGCTAATTGTCAACAACTATTGAGCATTGTAGCATATTTTTGGGCATCTTGCTCTTGTGAATATTTGAAAGTTCACATTATATGGTTCACATAACACTTTTGTGTGTACAATAAGCTTGCTATTGTCTTTGATTTTGACTTTTAAGGTATGTAGTGATGATGGGTTAAATGATGTAGGTGATTGTGAGATCATGAGGTTAATTAACAAGAGCGGAACTAGAAGTTGAAACTCGAGGGATGAAATGCAAATGAATGGTGTAAATAAGGGGCAAGCGTTGATGTGATTTAGATATTAGTGAATTCAATGACACAAGAGAAAAAGAGGATAAGCTAGAGAAAGAAAATAAGGGTGTGCATTTCTAAGTTAATTCCCTCCAAAAGGCAAATGATTGACGTATTTATAACTAAAAGCCTTTTAAAATGAGCTTCATTAATCTTGTTCCACTTCCACATGGCTCGATCTTGAGAGATTGAGTTTGTATTGACATGTAAAAAGTGGTTTAGGCTCATCGTGATTTTTCGCAGTAGGTTGGGTTTCACATAATCCATTAACAACTAATTAAGAGTTTGGGTACCATCCCTCCCTCTCATCAGGTCTTATCCTTAGGATCAAAGGTTAGTGCTGAACTTTTATACTAATTGTGCTGATCATTATTATCAAAAATGAATCAGTATATAGATTTTTGACTCACTAGTGATAATGTTCTTACAACCTTATTTACGCAGGGTGAAGATACTCATGGAATGCCTAGTCTTATCAACCTTTTCGGAGTTGAGTCGCCTGGTTTAACATCGAGCATGGCAATTGTAGAATATATAGTTTCCATATCCTTGAAATAATATCAAATCTCAGTTAAAGTTGAGGAATTTATTGTTTCAAATTCAATCCCATGGAGATGGAGATGGAGTTGGACAAGACTATCAATAGTTTAACCTTTGTTTATTTTATTTTTTCTTTTTTGACATGAAGTTTAACCTCTGTTTATTAGTCATGAGGATGTAATCGTATTAATATACTTAGCAATTCTAAAAATCACAACGAATGGCAAAATCTTGTCCTCAAAATCATACAGATTTCAACAAATTTCGGTTAATCTACTAACATTTTCTCATTTAACTTGTTATAAAATCTTGTCCCATGCATGCTCTCCCAGCCAAGTAGATGTTTCAGCTAAAATGAGTGGAAAAGGCATACGACGCCTAGACATCTGCTCAACTATGGGCACCAACCCAAGGCTGGTTAGCATCAATGCCACTGAGTAGCAAGTACTAATTAAGAGTGCAGAAAGAGACAAGAGAAGGTCAGTATGGGCTAGTATGAATGCACAAACTACAAGCGGTCGAAGGGGCACGGCGTCAGCTCCAAAGTCATAAAACGGAATCTCATAAGCCGAGAAATCGAAAATAGGCAGGATCAATGAAGTAAGGTGTAAATCCAGCCGGCGCACCATAAGAATTTCTTCTACCATGGATATTCTCCCAGAAATGATGCTGAATTCTTCAAACAACGGACAGATCTCGAAGTCATTGTGACGAAATAAGTTGTCTGAATCAAAGTGGTTTATCAACCATTGCAATAACCTGGGTTGAACTCGAATGTTCCGATAGTAGCTTAGCCCTTTGAGTTAAAATGGTGTCAGTAAATCTCAATCCTCATAGCCAAAACTACGAAACAATGCTTCAAAAGCAGGTGCTAAGGATCGATCCATGAAAAATGAAGAAGAAATGAAGAGTGGAAGTTCTGAGTGAAGACTGCATTTGGAATGAGAGGAGAAAGCTTTTGTAACATGTAAAAGTATTTTGGGCTTTTATAGCAATGAATCAAAGGACAGATTGACAGCTGACTGCCACTGTAGTACTAGTGGCGTAAGCCACAGCATAGTGGCGCATGCCACTAGTTAGCAATCAGTTGGAGAGAATCCTATTTTGTTGCTTTTCAGTTCTCCGATTCAACAAGCAATGTAAATATCAACTGTAAAGCACAAATACACCAATATCACTCAAAAACATGTAAAGAAATTGGCTTTTGGCCTTCATATATATGAAAATAATCATTCTTTATAAGATATCCCCTAAACTGGGTCCAGATTGCAAGAGCAGATAAAAAGAACAAAAGAAATAGACTGGGGCAACCAACTCAAGACATGTTGGAAGCCGTCTCCTCTGAGTTATAGCTGCTGAACTCCTCGCTTCTTCAATGACCACCAGCCTGCGTCCAGCTCCATGACCAACACGGCCGCCACACGGCATCCCTCGACCTCTACCAATAGGAGACACCATGCTAGCTCTTTGCATACATTCATAAGTATTAGTAAATACATTTCATTCATACATGGCATATGCTTTGCATATTTTTCTTGTGTTGTTTATACTTACAGATACATGCTCATCCGAGAGCCTCACTACTGTCAATTTGAGGCGTGCCGCTTTATACAGCTGGCATACCTCATTATAGTCATCAATGGGCACCTATAGAGTAAGACAGGGGCAGAAAATAAGAAAACATAATAATAAAAGGCAACTATCAGAATAAAGAGCAGAAATTACTCATATGGGTGCAGTCAGGTAGTGATATTCGATATGGACTC